GCGTTTCTACATTAACGATAACCTGAGGACGGATATCTCAGAAACTAAAAGATATAGCTTTAATTTTGTACAAAACGTCTTTGCCGATGAGATAGATAGTTTTCCTGATAAAAGCAAAAACTCAAAAAATTAGTAATAAACATGCGGCAAATTTTTTTTTCCAAAATTATCCATAGTTGAGGATATCTCAGAAACCAAGCGAGATAGCAAAAAAGGATATAAAATCAATCATATTGAAAATTTTATCAGTTTATTACTCTAGAGATATTACTGTAATTTTTTAAATAGGAGAAACCTGACTAAGCCCGAAAGAATTAGAGGAGTTACATGCAAAAGTATATTGGTTATACCAATCATTAACATATAGTAACTAAGATTTTCGAGTATTAGAAACTATTGCCTTAATTATTATTAAAAAAATCGAGTTTACCAGTTAAATTTTACCAGTCCTGGTCTTAGTCTTGCAACAGTTAGACGGCATTGGTCTTGCAAAGTGCAAGACCAAGACCGTTTTTTGGCAACACTAGTCTTTGTCGATGCGACGGATAGTTTTCCTGATATAAGCGAAACTCCGAAAAAAAGTTATCAACTTGGTGCCCTCTCCCACATCTGGCTCACCACCTATGAGTGAGGACTTTTAGTATATTTACCTCCTTACTTGTACAAACAGCGTCCCAAAGTCAAAAATTGTGTCGCCGCCATTTCCTTCTATTATCATTCGTTGATTGGACTAGGTGGTCGTGGAGGGTAAAAGATTGGGGATGTGTCTAGACCTGACATCGGCATGCATAATAAAAAGTATTTTGCAATTTATTTTTAGACTTTGTAATCAATTATTTCATCAACCCGTTAATTGAATTTACATGGACATTTTTTAATTTTTTTTTTTCGAGGTCAGATAAAAAGATGGGCTGTCGATAAAATAAATAAGGAGAGGGATCCCGCAGAGCAATATCCTCGGGGGCCTTCCTTTGAGCCGCTGATGGATTTTTGATGTTGTAGCCCTTAAAAGTAATTGGTCCTGTCCTCACCCTTTCCGCCAAACATTCTTTTCAAGGCTCTTGTCATTTTTTTTCTTATTTGACATTCAGTGTCTGTTCTCATTCGAATCCCAAACTGTTTGTTTTTCATTTGAAAAAAAAAATAATTATAAAGAAAAAAAAAGTGGCTCACAGTACGTTAAAGGAATTTAACAAATAAATACTGATGATTTTTACTTCCCAATAACTTAGGTTGTTGTGATATCGAGTAAGTTCCCATATTCCTTATCGTCCGTGATTTTACAGACCCATTTTTATGAAATTATTAACATCCATTATTAACTAAAATTTCGTAAATACCTTCATCTCATATATACCTTTTTATTTTCGAAAATTCTCGTAATTGGGGCGTTTTCAATCTGAAGATCGGCGAACTTCTGTTTAATTAGGTAATAGAAATACACGAAAACCCAATAACCAAGCCCCGCAAAATGATCTGTATGTGACCAGTCTAGCTGAAAAACGAAAAGTCGTATGAAAGTGACATTGCATATTTAAAGTTTGTATATGCCTGAAATGTTACAGTAACTATTTCGTAAATACCGGCTAACCGGAAGTGGCACTTCATATAACCGATTTAATACATTTTTACGATTTTCTCAAAAACGGCTCTAACGATTTTAATTAAACTCAGTAAATCAATGTATTATTAAACAGTTTTTAATACAATGTAAGTTTTATGATGTTCTCTAAAGGGGCTTAAATGGCTAATTTTCAATATTAGCTTCTCCTAAATAACCTTTAATTTTTTTTATTTGAAATAGGTGATCATTTCATATTAATTTTTTATTTAAAAATAGATAAATATAAAATATAAAACAATTTGATAATTAACTAAAGAAGAGATAAGAGATCATAACGGTCAATAGTCGTAATGGAAGAACCAAAGGACCGGCTTCTATACGTAACGTTAGCTTAATAAAATATGTACTCCGGCGACATTATGTACATATACATATGCGCTTTTCATGTATGCTATCGTTGGTATCATTTAATATTTAATTGTATATAATTCAGTGTTAGAAAAATTCAAATTTATAAGCACCCACAATGAAATATAAAGAAATAACGTCTTTAATTTTTTTTCCCCTTTGTCTCAAAATACTTATTTCTGCTAATAAGAGGATGGTGAGTGAACATCGTGTGATGCGCGCACCATATTTGTTAAAATTATATTATGTATTAATATTATCAATGAATTGTTTAAAAAATCTATCAGAGGAAAATAATATATTTTAAAAGAAAAACCGAGGCCCCGAAAAGATGAGTGATGGAAGGCGGACCATTCTATGCCGGTCAGGCACCACACCGCTTCTTACAACACATTAATCGCCGGATGAGCCTCGCTTCCTGACCGAAATAAAAAGTCGAACCTCACACAAACAGAATTGTGAGGAGATCCAGGTCCATAAGTTGAGCTCAACTTAATCTACAAGACAATAAATTCCAAACTTGTCAATGAAGCAGAAGCAATTTTCTTCACATAGAATATTTTTCAAGTTGGAGTTAGTAATATTTTTAAAAATCTTTCTCATGACACTATTAAGTAAGAAGTAACATAATCATAATTTAGGTGCCATATCACAATGGATGGTGAAACATGATGTCATGAGGGACAACATAAAAATGAGGTAAAAATATAAAATTTTATTATTAATGAAAATAAATTTCGAAGGTTAAGATATTGTGAAGATTAGGGAAATATTATGAAGAAGGAAAAAGAAAAAGAAATAAAAAACCAACGTGTGTGATTTAGACCATACGACAGAACTGAAACCATTAACAAGGCGAGATTAATAATATGAAATATAAATTATAAATAATACATCATTATAAAGAGGTTGAAATGCTCAACATTTCCCTCGCTTACAGTATGCAGGTCAGATTTTTAATTTCTGAGATATTTTAATGCATATCTCCCATAAAACTTGTTATCATTTGATATTCGACCTCATGTTTTCTTTTCGCCTCTCTAACACGGTGTCGCGTTAAGATACAATTTTGAATAATAGCCCATTACAGAGAATATGAACTGATAAACGTTTCCTTTGCTAAGAATATGAAAGTCCGATTTTCAGTTTTTGTGATATTTTAATTCATATGCAAAAACACTTTAATCAGTCGACTCTAGCAGACTTTACCCGAGCATTACATATCGGAGAACTGACGGCACAATCTAATTCATTCTGCACAAACAAAAGTGCAAAACGCGCCTGAAGGAATTCTCACTTCAAAAAAACAATTGAATCATAAAATCAAAAACAATTTTATTTTAGATAATATTTCATCTTTCTAGTTTATTTCACATTTCTTCTAGTCAGCCTCACAAGAATTTATCATACAAACAATTCTATCTTAGAGCGGGGGGAAGCTGGCCGAGCGGGTAGCACTTTTACCAATTCAAGTCCCTGGGCCGGCGTCATTTAACTGTAGCGTTAATTTGCCGATCCCTCTCTCTCTACCGGTTCGAGAAAAACTCGTAAAGCCGAAATGGCCAGGTAAGAGAGAGAAAAAACATTGCTTATATTGCATTTTAATTGATTCCGAACTGTTTTACTAATGGTAAACAACGAATGTACTTGGTTACTGATATAGTTATTAATTGCATATGAAACCTAAGAGACATTAATACAATAAACTAAAAGAGAATGCGAGGTAGCTCAGCGAGTAAGGTACAATAAGCCACTCCTAGTCTCAAGATGACTGGCTCGAGTCCGGCTTAGGCAAGTAATTATTATATTCTGTTTCAAATCAGCCATCGATAGGTCCTGGATCATGATCAGGAGACAGGAGATCAGGGGGACGGAAAAGTTCACATTAGAAGAATATGTATAGATCGTTAATACTTGCAGGATATCTGATCGATTAGCTAATAAAAAAGGTCGCAAGACAAAGACTTCTAAATTTACTTCTCTGTAAACACTCAAAACTAAAACTTAGACAAAAATTGAACACATATACTTACTTACTAAAACCTATTTCGACTTATGCATCACAGATATTTGGAACATCTAAAAAACCTCATATTAATAAACTGCAAAGTTGTTTTCAAGCTAAAACATTGAGGACAATTACAAAAGTGCTACTTTAGCATCATAACATTACATACTGACCTTCACTTGCCAACTGTTAACGAACATATACAAACCTATTACAAACGATTTCAGGACAAATTACGTTGAACGAGCTCTATTCAATGCATTATTATTATTAATTTTCTCAACAGTCCTTAACAGACCTGGGCCTCAGAAACAAACTTCAGTCAGACTTCTTTATCAACAGCTGTTCTCCTCCACCTTCTTACACCCAAAGGTCATCTTCTATGGCGTCGATCTACCGCAGCGGGAGTATTTCCCTAAGACGTGTTCCTCCTGGGCGGCTATAAAGAAGATTCCTAGGAAACCTCTCTTCCACCATCCTCTCCGCAATCCCAAGCTATCTCAGCCATCCTTATGACAGTGACTAAAATGTTGATACTATTATAAAAGTTATATAACTATTTTTTTTTTTTTTTTTTGATTCGTCAATGATCATTTACTCTTTTGGAACCTTATGTTTTTCTCATTAATTTCCTTTCCCAAATATTCAGAAATTTCTCATTTTCCCGGTTCAAAACCCAGGTTTCACATCCGTAGATAACGACTGGCCTAATAATGTTTTTTCAAGTATAGGTGTATTAGAAGATGGAATTTCATAAAATTAACATGGAAACAACTGGCATGAGTACTTACCAAATCACCATATCCCTCGAAAGAGTTCAAAGTCGAAATGGGATGAAAGATGGTAGGTTTCATGCCTGTAACGTGAATTATCTATTTGTTACTTGATGTTTAAAATGTAAACGCGAGTAGAAATTTTCTAACGTTTTTGCGTTTCTCACAAAAATTTTTTGTTCATTGGTCACGCTGAATCAGAATAACAATATATAACTAGATATTTTAACAGATAAGAATAAAAATACAAAACCACTAGCATAGATTTTTATTAACAGCAGAGACTTCCTCTTAAACCATCTAAAAATGAGCCATCTTCATGTCTACAACATTGATCAGACAACTTTAGTCTAATATAAAAAAACAAAAGAAAAAAAAAACTAAGATTATACAAAGTAAATATATATGTATGTTTATACACGAAATAAGAATATAAAAATTAGGATGAAATAATCAGTGGTGATATTTTTAATTTCTTTATTATTTATATTTCTTAATTTTAGAGGTTTATTATTTTATAGAACGTCTCGAGGCTTCAACCTCATTATTAACTTAACGTGGTACTACACGATGACCAAAACGTTTGCGCGAACGTTCATTGCAACATTCGTCGAATAGTCCACAATGTGAGATGAATGTTTCGCACAATGTGAGACGAATGCTGGATTTTTATAAATATATCCTACTGTTACTGATTTACTGAGTTACAGATTTCAATGAAAATGATAAGTTAATTATAATTAAACTAAAAATTATTATAATAAGCGAATATTTATTTTCCAGTATTTAATCAATAATTATTATATATACTTTATCAATGTTAATTTAAAAAAAATATTTGAGTGATATTTCGCCTATTTAAAATTCATGCTTTATTAGCAATCAATTTTATAACGCTTTTTTATTATTAATTTCTTTTACATCCCCAATATTTGTAGTATATATATTTAATTAATAATTATTGCAAATCAAAAAATTTTTATTAGCAGGGTTTCAACTTTTCTGAAAAAGTTCCTATGTAAGGAGGGAAAAAAAGATACAATTTAACTATAAAAGCCTATTATGGTCGCAATTATATCAATTTTTTATAATATTAATAAAGCTGACATACAACGAGTAATTACATATGTATTATTTTGTATATATTTGGGCGGATATGGTTTTTAAGTTCATTTTGAGGGAAAAAAAGAGAGAATCTCACTGACCAAAAGGGAAATGACAGAAACACTGGTCATAAAAAAATTATAAACGAGATTTAAATTGATCTATTTGGCGTCAATAAAGCGAAATTTTCTTGGTTATAATTCTGTCACCCCTCATAACTTTGAAACTATAGACAAACAGGCAATCACGTTTCTCATATTTTATATAGTTCGAAGTAAGAAGAATGTTAAAAAAAATGTTTGTTTTTTATTCTATGACGGAAAATGGTGAAGATATGTCATATTTTAATAAAAAAGACGCGATCTCAAAGCTAAATTTCTAGCTAGTTATAGACTAGAAGCTATGGACCGTTTCATTTAACTAAAGGACGTACAGTCAATAACCATTTTTAATTGTAGATAAATCTCATCTGAACTCACAAATTTCGGTTGTGAAGCTGTTGCTTTCTGTACGAAAATTTAAATCAAAGTTACATTTGTTGTTCCATTTATTGGAAGAACTGACCGGCTGAAATTTGTATATGATGTATAGAATGTGTCCCTAAAACTGAATTCACCTCAACAGATGATGTAATCTGTTGCTTTTGAAAATTTCAATGTCAAAGTCATCGAATTAATCCAGTCGGATGATACTTGGGTCTGAGAAAACTTCAAATAGTCCGTTTCTCTTCGGTTTTTTTGGGATGCGAAATTTCTAGTGCGAAATTTTCCATTGCGTTCCGAGATATACGCTAAAAATAGCGGAAGTTTTTTTAATTTTTAGGGACATGACTCCGAAACTATGCATTTGATCAACATTATTATTCTATGTAGCATTAAAAAAGATAAAATCTTCAAAAGGTTTTGAAAATGGCTTTCTATTGTAGGAATAACGGGTGAGGAGTTAGCAGGTTGACTATTTGCTTATTTCACTAGAAATATCTGTTTTCGTCGGTTTCCCCCAAAACTCATAATATATGCACCTCTCCAAGAAATTTAAAGTCATTTTCAGTAGCAGTATCTACCACACTCGTGTAGATGAGTGCGTGTGTGTTTGTGTATGTGTACAGTTCAGCACAGAAACGAAGAGTCGTAGAGAAGTGAAATTGCATATTTTAGGTTTTGATATGCCTGAGATGTTAGGGCAACTTTTTCGTCTAAATCGGGTAACCGGAATTGGCACTTTGTATCACCGAAACACATTTTTAAGACTTTCTCAAATATAACTCTAACGTTTTTGATTAAATTCATTATATCAACGTAAAATTAAGCAGATTTTGAAATAATGTAGGTTTTATTCCCGACCATGTTCCCTAACAGGGCTTAAATAGCTAATTTTCAAAGTTTCTTCCTTTTAAGTACCTTATTTTTTTTTTATTTGAAATAATTAACCATTTCAGATTATAGATGAATGAAGGAAATTTATTATATTAATATATAAAGGAGAAATAGGGGTTGAAAGATATACAGAGCCCGTCCTTTGGCGATGTTCTCCCTTTACAAATACCCGATACCGCTCTGTACAAGGCATTGATATTGTTTTAATTAATTTAACTTTAATTTGTATATGTCATTATCAATATATTTTCTTTTAAAGTTTTTCATACGAAATTTTGATGATCTAATAATATAAACCTAATAATATACAATACTTACTAAAATTAAGATATGTTTTCGACTAGTTTCGTTAAACTCTAAATTTTAAAACTGTATATTTCCAACAGATCTATTTTTTCCCTCAATCATTGGTATTGTTTGATATTATACACAGTCGTGAAAGGAAATGGAAAGTGATGCAAACGTATAAATATAACAGATTCGATAGGCGGGGAAAATATGGCAATTAATTGTTATAAATAAAGTTATACTATCATTTTCACTTTGATTTCTCTATATACGAAAATACCTATTTACTCTAGAGCTGATAAGTGAAAGTTGTATGATGCGCGCACCACGCCAGAGTTTTTTTATAATTACAGTAACTAATTATTATTCAGAATTTATTGATAATACTTTAACAATATTTTTTAATTTCTTCATAAGTCCTAAGGGAGATGCTTTTTATCTGAGGTATATAAATAAAATTTAATAACAGCATTTACTCTCCCAATAATTTTTCTTTATTTTTATGACGTTTCGGGATTACTTTCTTATCCCCTCCTCAGACTAGAAATTAGAAAACATTTTTGTTATTTGTATTTTTATACTATCATTACAATATGTTTTTATATAAATTTTAACACCAATAACAGAATTTGCCAATCTTATTAGTATCTCATCGTTCTATCATCCTATTTTTTAAAAAAGATTTGTCATAATTTTATATTTTTTAATTCATCCCTAAAAATGCAATAATTTTTTTATTTGTTTTTATTTGTTATATTATTACTACTTTTAAATATGTAGCAAGTTTCTATAATGAATTTATTTACCTCGGTTACCTGTTATTAAATTTTATTCAAATAATTTTTAACATATTCAAAAATAAAAAATAAAAATGAAAGGATTTAACAAATTTTTAACAGAAAGGAGGAAATAAAGAACCGAGAGAGGCGGACGGTTACAAGAGGGGAAGGTTTAGCCTAACGAGGGCCGGATTAGAGATCTTAGACCATTATCGGCCTTTAAAGAAAGCCGTATTATTTACAGCCAGTTCTCCCAAAACCAGACCATTCTTCACCCCCTAATAACACCATTAGTCCGGCACCCGGCCATCCCTCAACGAGCAAGGCTTCAACCAGCACAAGGTTCGAAATATATTCCACAAACCGAAAACCAGGCCAACTATTGCTGCAATCAATCATCGATAGAAGAAACTATAACTACTTTCTACTTCACCTCGGGTAAAGCGATAAATGGGCGATTCTGTTGGAAAGAAGTTTTGAGCCTTCAGTTTGGTATATTTAGAAGCAAAAAATCTGTTTCAGTGCGCGTATCACATAACTTTAACTTACCATCCTATCTTGATTAGAAATATTTTTATTTTTATATAGTGTTTATCAAACACAAAAGAAAGATTTTATTTTTTTATTTAATGAAATTTACAACTGTATAAACAATACAACTAGTAAAAATGCACACATTGGAAATAATGACATGAATAGACTTGAAGAGATACTGCCCAGTGGTAGCACTGCCTGTTTAATTCTAGGTGAGAAGATCACGTGGCCGTCTTCTTTTCAGACGCCTGAATTATCAGGATGACGGGGATTATCAGGAATCGAGGAAGAAGCAAGGATGGAAACAAGTGGATTTGGATGGGACTGGTGTTTATCATGAAAGGATAAGTATCTGGCTCGGACTTAATCAGTGACATATGGAACATTAAGGTCTTTATGAATGGTTTTATTTGTGACAAAATATGGGACATTAAGGATTTTACGAAGGATTTTGGATTGTAAGGATTGGATACGACAGGAATTCGATGGTTTGGTAGAACCCCAAAGCTCAACTCCGTATGTCCATATAGGTCTTATTATGGTTAATTAGATGTGTCTTTTGTAATTAATTGAAAGTTTAGAGCGTTTGCCTGGTAAGTGTTGGAGCAGTCGGAAACGACCCAAAATGAAAAATTGAAGAAAAAAAATCTGCTTTTAGAGAACCTTTTTAAATATTATTTTTAATCCACTTATCATACTTTCTATGTTTTTAAACTTTTACAGCTGTAGTTGGTTGAGTTTTCTATAAACTGATAGCAAGCTAATAGACTTGAGTTCATCCTAGATCCCTACCCAAAATGTCAGGTCGGGTCTGGGCTATTTAAACGGTCCTTTTAAAGAATGTGGGTGAAAGAAAGCTCGGCAGGACAGTCTTTACTCATTTTAGGGCTGAGTGTACCAAGAAAATAAGGAAAAAGGTGCTAATTTTCTTTTGTGAAAAAATTTTCACCGTCGAAAAAAAAATAAAGAGTCATCTACAAATTTCGGTATATTTTTTGATAATGAAAACAATAAATATTCTCTCGTACCAGAATGGAATTAGTGTAATCGTTTCTTAAATGCATCATTAAATTGTAACGCTAATCTATCCTTGGAATTAAAAAAAAAATAACTTAAGCACAATAAGTTCTTGCTCACAGTTCTACAATTGTAATGTTATTTAGTCAACTAAACTATTATTTAATCAACAGTTTTTGGCTGTGAAGTAATTTAGGACATTTTGATGTCAAACAGGAGGGAGTTAACCAAAGAGGAATCGATCTGTGATCTTTATTAGAAGAAGATATTTCACACAGGTACATTGCACAGAGACTCCAGTGGTCACAATCCGTGATTTCCAGAGCGATTATTAGGTTTTATGATACTAGAGAGTACACCAGAAGAAAGGAGCAAGATCGTCTAGGTCAACTTTCCAGTGAGACGACAGATTTTTATATATTTACGCTCTTCGAGCATTCTACGGAAGCAGCCAGTTTCTATGGATCTACACGTAGGAGGATAGCGGTTCCAGGGAGTACATATTTCAGAGCCATCAATGAGAAGACGACTTAATGAATATGATGTACGTTCTATTCTCTAACTACTGAACCTCTGCTTCTAAGGGAGAACTGAGTTCAGCGTTTGAGATTTCCCCATGAGCACCTACTGGAGCCGTGTATTCTTCACTGACGAGTCCCTATTCAACCTAAAGTTTTCAGATGAACGCAAAAGAGTGTAGAGGATGTTGGGAGAGAGGTACAATTATTTCTCGAAGAGTAGCCTGTGGAGGAGAATTAGTGATGATTTGGGGAGGTATACATTTAAATTTAAGTACGGAGTTTGTTCTTATGGACCGGGGCTAGTTAACTGGTTTGAGGTACAAAAGGGAGATCTTAGAATCACATGTGATATTTTTTGCCAGAAATATAGGAGGGGGAGGGCGAATTTTAAAAAGTATTTTAACAAGCGAATGCATTTTAACCAGAAGAGATCGAAGCTATAGCTGAGCCACCCAGATTTTTGGACATGAATCCAACATAGGAAGTATGGAACATGGGTTTGGATACATGTCCGTAATGGAGACCCTCAAAATTTGTCTGATTTAAGTAGAATTTTAGTGGAATGTTGGAAAAATTCCGGCAGGGGATGTAAGGAACTTGCTTGGTGGAATGGACAGAGGAATGCTGAGAGTGGTCAGGGCTAGATGGGAAAACACGTCCTAATGATTTTATTCCATAATATGCAATTTCTTTTATTTTTTTTGTAACGAAAATTCTAAAACAAAATGCATTTTTTCTTTCTTTTTTGATTAATTTACTTTTTCAATAAACTATTATATCATATTCAACAAGAATCCACTTAAAAAATGGTCAGTAAAATTAAAATATTGAAGCAATCCTTTAATTTTTTTTCGTCAGTGTAGTTGAACAAGTCATGATTCGGATCGATTTTGTTACTCGATTGCAGTATTTCTTAAAATAATTACAATTAGTAATTGTAATAAAAACAAAATTCACAGAGCTAATGTAATCTTTGGCGGCATTGAGTCTGACGTTAAAATGGAATTGAGAGCGGCCTTTAAGTTTTTTGTAGACATTGCGATATCTCTCTGCTCCAAAGTCCCTAGTTCTTGGTCTTCAACGTTCGACTTTCTTATTAGCATCAGCATCGGCTCAATGTAATGATCTGGATGATCCCTGCGTACCCAATTTCTAAAAAAATTAGTTCGTAAATTATTAAGTCTCTATTGCATTAGTAACAGTAACAACAATAATCATAGTATTGCAATCTAATGTGAATATCAAAAGACAGAATAAGTGGCATTATTAAATATTTGAGAGGCTTCATATCAAAGACGGACACCTGCCATATTTAAAATGTCGAGAAAAAGTTATTTTTTGTAACATTGTTTCAATTTAAATTCGTAAAATCGTATTCTTATGATTTTTTTTTAATGATTCTTCTTGTGAAAAACTTAAATAAGATCATCAGAAACAATTTGATTTGTATGATAAAACTTATATAATAAAAATTGATGTATAATAAAAATTTTTGTATATTAAAATAAAAATTCAATTTGTCTCCACTTTCTTAAAACGACATATGTCAGTCTATGCTATGAAGTCACTTCATTGATCATATAAGCAATATATGCTGTCAATGAAGTTCTATAAGACCTTAAACCAATATAAATCATATTTCCATGATTTCTTTTACAATATATTATTTTAGACAGGATATGCTCTTTCGTGTACAATCAGAAAGTGTAAAGACTTTCTTTGATTGCTGGTTACATATTACAGCTATAGATAAGTGGTTTATTGATCAACCGTTGTGCGTTTATAGGACATAAATTTCTCTGGTAATGGTATTTTAGATTTAAATATAACGCTTTAAGAAATTTTATGTTTTTTCTGTAGATTATTTTACAGTGACTTGATTTCCCCTTATATGCTTATTCATTACCAGTGCACTGCGGATGAAATAACTATCACTTATCTTAGTTCAAAAAAAGTTACAAAACCAAAATAAGGTATAAAAATATGTAAACGAAGAAAACAATTAGTACGAAAACTTATCAAGATTTGATAATGAAATCAAATAAATGTATTTACAATCAATTACCAAATTATTTGCAGTTTATATTTACTTAATAACTAATAACCAGAGCAATCTTTATTTAAAATTTTTTACAGTTATTTTGTAACACCTTTCTCCCTTGAAAAATTTAAAGTTTTACATAAATTTTATTTTAAAAGTTAAGTATTGAATCGAAAAAAATGTCTATCTAAAAAGTTACTTTTATTCTTAGCTATTCAAACTACACATGTATTTATAAATAATCTAGTAATTCATTTAAGATAAATTATAGCTCTAATCTAGGCCTATTATTTATTTCTCATTTAACTTAACTTTTAAAAGAATTTAAATAAACAAAAGTTAAACTTTAACCACAAACCTTGAAGAGTTTTTTAGAACTTTTCTTTTAAATACTTTTTCTTATCAAGGTTCACTTGTTTATAAAAATAAGAGAGAGGGAAAACAACCTTCATAGCATTGAAACAATTTTAGAACGTTTTCAGCTAAAAATGAATAATGCAAAAAAGTAAAAAATATCTTTGATTTCTTAATTTGTTCAAACTCAAATAAAAATACTTTTTTCACAGTCCGGCAAGTTTGCTTCGGAAAATGTGATAAGAATATCACCTGAAAGTTGAGTGGAAACGGATAATAAAATCCTAGTGTATTTTGATATATAAATTGTTATCTTTGAATATAAATGATAATTTAAACTAATCTAACATTTAGGGATTAATAAAAACATACTTTATACTAGCCCTGTCGACTTTACTTGATCGGTTTTAGTTTACACATTTTATTCATTCATGTAGCTTATTTATTATGGATTTTAATTTTTTTTAAGTCGTAATTATTGGGGAGTGGAAGGGGCGAAACGATATTGTTGTCCCCTCAACATTTTTATTGGGGGGAGGGGATGATCGCTCCTCCGGAAGTCTTCACCTATGGCTACTATTAGCTCTAGAATAGATATCGCTGCAGCGATAAAAAAATAAATATTAGTAATCTTATCAAATCGAATAACTGGCGATTGATCAATTAAATTATTTATTCCATTAAATAAATATGAAGGCCAATATATCAATAACTAATATAACTATACTTAAATTTTCAGTGGTAAAAAATAAGCCAATACAATAGATTAACAAATTAACCAGAAAAAAATATGTTGACAAATAAAATACTCAATAAACACAGTAAATAATCCTAAATAAGGTAAAAACCACTTCTCTAACTTTTAGAAACTAAGAAAAGGTAATATCGACGTGCTCATGTTATTAAAAATGTTACCTGTAACGATCTGGGCACCCGGCACAAAAGGTAAACTTCTCAGATTCAACTTGAGATTCTTTTTTCTTTTTCACGAGGTTGTGATGGTAATAATGGTGGGGCTGATGGGATTTAGTTTCTTTCGTTTCCTTGGACAATAATGAAAATAAAAAAAAAACCTTATTAAACGATAATCTTCTAGTAGACTACCTAATTCAAAATTGGCTAGGTATCCACACTTGGGAAAATATTGGGGAGAGGGATGCGAAGACCAGAGTAACATGATAACTATATTCCGAGGGAGGGGATAGGACGAGATTCATAAAGGATTAGCTTAATAATCAGTTTCTTAACTGTAATATAGTATTATTATTTATTATACGGTTTATAGAGTTCATAAGTAAATATTTTTAAGTAATTGACATATTGAAGGGGCTGGCCCCCTTTTTAAAATATTGGGGAGGAGGGAACAGAAATGCCTTGCCCTCCTATGCTGCGACTATTTAATAATAATAATGTTTGATTTTAATAATTTTAATAAATTATTTTAATAATAATAACAAAACAACATTGATCACGTGAGTTTCCAGCCAGAGTCAGTTTTCAACATCGATATTGATTGATGTTTATACATAATAATAATAATATTTTTATTTATTATGGGAAGAATTCCTTTTGAATAATTTACAAGGATAGAAATCTGGGCTTTCGAGCCTCAGATGTATATGTATGTATATGTATATATATATATATATATATATATATATATATATATATATATACATATACATACATATACATCTGAGGCTCAAAAGCCCACATTTCTGCCCTTGTTAATTATTCTAAAGGGATTCGTCCCATAATAAATAAAAATAATATATATATATTATTGGGTATATATATATATATATATATATATACATACATACATACATTTGCAAAGTTAAATAATAGATATAATAGGGAAAAAAAAGTTATGTTTTTAGATTAAAACGATTATGAAAAAAAAATATAAGGTAATAATATCCATATTAGAAAAATATAATTCTTTGTAATACAATAAACAAAATATTTTACACCTTAAAATATTTTGCACATTCCCAACTACAAATTATTCTTCCTAGATTCAAAAAAGTAAATATTATCATACATCATACTGTTGTTTTTTATGTAGGAATTTTTTGTTTGTTTTATTAAGTATTATTATATTGTATCTCTGGATATTTCGTTATAATATATCTTTCACTTAATCTATTTTATTTTTTATATCAAGATATATTATATTATCAATGTTATATTCTGAAATACTTTTAAATTTTATATTTTGTCTAGAAATATTAAAAGCTTCTCTTTATTATTTTTCTAATTTTCAAATGAAATAATAATTAATGTCTACATCCGCAATTTAACCCAACAACAGACCTGGGCAGTATTTCAAATAAAATTAAAAAACCTGTACCACTAAAACACATGAAGGTTATTGGGTTCAGTACTATGCAGGGAAGGTACTGTTTCTTGGTTAATGATTTTGCAAGGAGAGGATTTGACCGTAATCACGCTCAACAACCCTGTTTTCTTCCTTAATTAATTTTTAACTGTTTTGTATGTAGTTTTATTTATTTTGTACGTAGCTAGTTCTCTTAATGTTTTATTTCGATTTTATTTATTGTTTCAAAACCTGTAGGCCAGAAGTAATCTTTTCTTTTGGTACGATATTGTTATTAATGAAGAGTAAAGTAATATTATATCTATATTTCAATTATAGGCAAGTGAAAGTAAAAATTGTTGAAATCATATTAAAAAAAAAATCTCAACTCTCAGGGCGGATAGGGATTGGACACGTGCCTCGTATTTTTTCACCCTCCCGCCCTCTTTACATCGACCATCCCACGTCTGTAACCTTATCTGTCAGTGTTGTGACAGTAAAAGCCAGTTGTAGAATTGGGGTTCAATCTAAAGCAGACCCTACACGGTAATTCATGAATGAACGTCACAAGAAGTTTCAAGATTGCCCGCTATCGCTTTGATCATGAAGACCCCTACACGTTCAATCATTACTAATCATTACTTATCATTGCTGAAGCCAATTTAGCTCAGTTGTAAATAAAGAAATAGCCTAGATATGCTTATTTGGACATTGTCATTTATAATATTGGGCATCAAGAGAAAAATGGAGATATAATAATTACTTCCTAGTGCCTGAAAATCGTTTAGATCAAAGTTAGAAAAATATAAGTCAACTACATACAAAAATCTAGGAAAAGTATTGCGAAAATAATCAATTTGTTAAGAAAAATTGTATTAATGACAAATAAACACAACAGTTAATGATTTTTTTTTCTATAAGTAAATTGTGAAGTTTCCACTTTTTTTTCTCTTCAATTTATTGCCTACTTGACTATTTAAAGAAAAAATAGTTGAAAATGGTTAATAATAATATAGACTAGGGATGTAAACAACTATTTACTTTTATGAAATTATTTACTTAATAACGAGACCTAGGTAAACTAACCTATCTAGTAGTAAGGTTAGTCTCATAGAAAATCGTTTTGACAAAAGTTAGTAAAATATAAGTCAACTACTTACAAAAATTAAGCAAAGGTTTTGTGAAAATAATAAAGTTGTTGAGGAAAATGGGAAAAGGACTGATAAGTATACACAACGTTAAAGTTTTTTTTTTCTTAAATTAAATTGTGAAGTTTCCACATTTTTTTTTTTAATTTGTTCCCTCTTGACTATTTAAAAGAAATAGTTGAAGATGGTTTATAAAATATAAACAAGGGATATGAAAAATTATTTAACTATTTACTTATAATGAAAATCGGAAATTTATAATGGTTGTGAGGCTTAGATAACCTAACCTATCCAGCCAGCAGTATGGTTAGTCTCCCCACTACTTTTACCTCAGTCCCCCCTCCACTTCTCGTGAATGAACCTTTGATTTCCGGATGTTCGGAAATCCGCAGCGCACCACCATCAGTACTTCATTCACTACCTTACACGACAATTCGGAACGTCATTAGTGCAATTCCGATTGACCGTGTAGGGTCCCCTTTAAACTACAGTCAAGCATAAAAATCAAGTTGTACAAATGAAGGTTATCATGTGAACTTAGATCAACGTTAGTTTAAGGTGGACCGTCGAAGAGGCAAATTAAGTTCAACTGAACTCACTACTATTATAATCCTGTACTTCCTTCAAAGTTTTGTAAAGTTTATATATATATATAGTAGGATTTTATGGCCTTTGAAAATCTCGAATAGAAATACTATAGTAAAATAATGTAATAAGAGTTTTTAAAACTAATATAATTTTATTTTTTTATAGGGAACAAGTAATTGGATGGTACCAACCTCCTGCCTCTGCCGGCAATGGTCACTGTTGCTGTACAGCCAGTTATCAAAAACTTGTTGGATCTGGGGATTCTCGGGTTGTCCCTTGCCCCGCCACACTTCTTCTACTATAATTTTCTTATTTCCTTTATTGCTTGGAAATATCTTGACCTTCATCGGCCCATCACATACGGGACATTTGGTTTTGACAATCTCCGGATGTTTAAATGGGATACAGGAATCATGAAGGATCTTTTTGAACCTAGGGACAGGTTTAGGCTAAAGTCGATTAGGATTGTAGTTTTGTAAAAGGTCAAAGAGATTACATTCTTATCTGCGACAGGAAATATCTTGACAGGTCTTTATTAAGTAACAACTGAATACCCATAAAATATTTTCCTTCATTGGTTATTAAAAAGTCTATGTTATAAACTTTAATACAAAATTCAAAAGTTGATATTTTTATTTTCCAAATTGAAAAAAAAAAAAAAACCCTGCAAATTATTTCACAATAGTTTATTATCTCCAAACAATTATACATCTAAAGTAATATTACCTTCCGAGTTACAAAGAAAAACAAAACAAAAGGTGATTCCAATTATTGGAAGAAACGGTTTTTCTTTAATCATTAGTAATATGCTAAAAAAAATAGCATTAGTTCAGTAACACATTTAAAACTTAAAAACAAAACCATGGATATAACATTTGGAGTAGAACACATAAAAAAAAAAAACGGAGAACATATCTTTGCTCCTAATTGTCCGATTTTAACTATTGTTTTTTTGTTTTTTAAAGAAATTTCATAAACTTTTAAAAAACTTTATACAATATCAACAAAAAAGTAAAAACGTTTCGAGTTATTCGGAATTTAATTTTACCATCCCTCGTAACTTTTTTTCCAGCTTCTTTTCGTTGAAGTATGTTATATAGATAAATTTAAAGGGCGTCGAGAAAATGACTTTAGCGAAGTTTCATTGAAATCTGTACATTCGTTTAGGAGCTACAGTCTATAGAAATGCAGTTTTTTCGGCCGCCCTTTTGAAAGTTAAAGGCGGAGAGTAATGTCGATGAAGGAGGATCATCCTCGGGCGACCTTCGATTTTATATCAAAATTTGAAAAAAAAATCGGTCCTGTAGTTTCGGAGAAAATGCGCGGACGGCGGACGGACAAAAAATTTTTTATTCGTTTTTCGAATTCTACGCGTCTTGAAACGTGAAACCTCAAATTTTGAGATGGGGTTATATTTTTGAATTTTTCGGTCGATCACAATGCTTCATTATTGAAAATAATAAACCAAAATCTATTACTTTTTATGACCGGATTATTTTTTAGCCTTAATCTCAAAGTAAATTATTTCAAACGAACTGATCCATCAAAGTAGTAGAGGAATATAAATAATTTATTTATATTTTTCAGTAGATTTATGTTATTACGAATTGGGATACAAAAAAATTTACCCTTGTATTACTTGTTAAAACCTTTTTCCTCCTTTTTTTTATTATTGATTAACATAATATTGAAAAATATAAAATTCTGGCACTTGGAGATAATTATAGTGCGGTAAGTTTATATAAACGTTATATACACAAAATATAAAATAAACAGCAGTAAAATAACAATAAAAAAGTATATACTATAAATTAAATCTTAAAGATGGGAAAATTAAAAAAAAAAAAAAAAAAACAGACACCTATATACATTATTTGCAATCAACAGAGGAAAAAGCAGGATTCCAGGAAATCCCTGAGCTAATCTCTCAACCGCAAGAGCGCTTTCCCCTTGAATTTACTGTGGACTATTTATCAACAAATAACGTCGAAATTAACAGAAATGTTCTTAAAAGTAGAGCGCCATCAAAAATGTAATCAGTGACTTTTTGTAATAAACCAAAAATATATACTAATAATCAGAATTAGTTTTAAGATTCTTTCAAATTTTATAGATTGATCCTGATTCTCAAATAGTATATTTAATACTAATGTGACACAGCCAAAACTTCGAAACAGACCAAACATTGGTAGTCTTTATTCTCTAAAATACAAGTGAAGAGATATAAACCAGTCAACCTTTCACCGTTTGAGAGATTATCGGGAGACACTGTCGGATCCAAGATTTAATTTTGGGGATGGAGGGCTTCAGCCCGAATGTTTTTTTTTCATATATATATATATATATATAAAACGATAAATAATTTTTAAAAAATAAAGATATTAATTACCTATATGAAATGGTGTTTAAGTGGTTTTTGAAACCCTATTAAATGTAATTGCACGAACAAGAATATTTTACGAGATAGTTTTTAATATTTTTCTGTAAAATATGGTTATATTTTACCCTTTGCTAGGGGAAGGGCTTTAGCCGGAAAATCTCCCCGTAGAACCGCGTCAGGAGCGTCAGGAGATAAAAATAAAATAAAAAAACTTACAGATTAAGTACAGCACACTTTTTATCGACAATTAAAAAAATAATAATACTTAAACAACTAAATAATAATACATGTAAAGGAAATAGAAAGTACATAAAACTGTCCGTGAAAGGTAATATTCACCTTTCCAACTTTATTTTGTGCTGTTATATATTCGAATAATCAATTTTATATGTGCTTACAATACAAAACAGTGCGGTACCACTTTAATTTTTGATTTATTACCAAATAGAATTATGGATTCAGAAAAATACTCGTTACTTATTCAAAAACATTTTATTTATTTATTTATTGTTACATTCCGCATCTACCCGCGGCATTAGCGGCTTTAGATGTAATCAAATTAGATGTACAAATTTAATGTCTTTTATAAATTCAAATACAACAAAAACATTTTAGCTCACTTTGTTCTTTCGATTTGTAAAGACTGTTCAATTTCGCCATTGTACTCATGCTATAACACTATGAAGAATATAATTTTGTCACAATAGACATTTAAAAAAAAAAGCAATAAAAATATACTATGGGACATGATTTTTTTTTTATTTCTAAGATATTTTTTTCCTTTTGTAGGAAATTTAGGAAGCTTTCAAATGCCCACATGATTAATGAACTAAAGATTATGTACTATTTGAGTTATTCGCAAATAAAATTCTGAATATATCGCACTTTTTTTTTCATCATGTTTTCGTTTCGTTTTGCTTCAGGCAAGTTTCATTAAAATAATTACAGTCGTTTGGTGCTATAATTTACTGAAACACATATAAACTAACAACTATTTATTTATAAACACTGTTTCCAATTTTTTTTTTTTATTCATATTACTAAAACACGTCAAAAAAATTAAATAAATAAAAATCTTTAATAAAAAAAAAAAAAAAAGGAAAAGTACTGAACTGTTTTGCCATATTTATATAATGATTTATTTATAATAATAATAAGGCTTAGCGAACCCGAAGGTTCAATGCCGATACCAGCAATGATTTATTTACGAAATTAATTTAAGATCTTTATATAATTAATTACGAGTTATAAAATTATAAGAATGAATTTTATTATAACAGAGATTATGACAATATGTAGGTCATATGTGTAACAGCTGTTTTGAATATTATGTCGCCGGTTTAGCTTGGAAAATTAATTTTAGTTTAGTTTTTTATTTATTTTTTTTAATTTTGTATTTGTCGCACCAAATACAGTAAAGTTTTAAAATAGAGAATGTATTTTACTATATGACTGTATACGTAATTTCCTAGTGATTTATCGTACATGAAATGTATATTAATAATAATAGAATCTTATAGTCTGTAGTACATCCGGCTAAAACTTCGTAAATATCTTCATCTCATCGTAACCTTCAAAAATATTTACGAAAATTCTTGGAATGGGGGCGTTTTCAATCTGGAGGGATACAAAGTTTATCTATTTAATTAGGTACTAAAATCTCGTAAATACCTATTTGCTTTCCGCCTAAATGGTAAGATAACTTATGATAACTTGAAAAAAAAAAAAGAATTAGGAAAGCACTCATTAGAAGGTTTAGAAACAAAACTATTCACTGACAGAAACGAACAACCTCCATTTCATTTGATTATTTCCATATTTTTTTATTTATTATTATTGTTTTAGTGGGAGTACTAGTTTAATAAACAATTGCCATCGATAAATTAAGCCCACATTTAATCTTACCTCACTCATCACTCATTCATTATTCCTAAAATTCGTAATCTATATTTTTTTACTTCATGTTAACATTTATAAAATCTTCTTTCCTGCCAACGCATTAGAATATTTGATCAAATTCAGCATAATTTACTCGATTGAAAGAAAATAAAATCTTTTTTTTCCCTTACACATTCACATAAATAATTTCTTGAAATTACAAATATCTAATTCATTGTTGACGTTTAACTTAATATCAACTATACTTCAAATGAAATATCAATTAGTAAAGTTAAAGAAGTAGTACAGAATTTGCAATATCTGTATGAAAATGATTCCAAGTTATATATACATATATATAATTAAATATAATATGATGGCATTCGTTTTAAAAGATACCTCGTTTTTAAATTGATATGCATCCTATGTATTTTCAATATATTCTTCTTCTAAAATACCTCACACAATGAACTCCAAGATTAATTAGTACAACTGTTTCGACCTTTTTGTTTTGAACATATGGAGTGTTATATTTCCCAGCTGTGCTTGAAACCATTATTCTAGTGTAAGAAATGAAATGAAGTCAGGAAATCCTGCGTACAGCATTTTATTTTGTCTACACCTTTATGGCATCATTTTCGATAAATCATAATTGTAGTCTTTAATGAGCATTAACGCCGTAAGTAAAATTTTTTAACGGGGTCTTTTTTAAAAAATTAAGCAAACAGTCTAATCCACAAGGTTTCAGTTTTTCCGGTTATTTTCTACTTTAAACACACCAGTAAAATTTGTTTTTCACTTTAGTGATCTCACAGTTTAAATAATTGTGTAGCTACAACATCAGAGTTTGACATAAAAAGAAATATTTTTAAAACGTTTTGGAATCATTGGAATTTTCATTATAGATATTTTTTCAGATCTTTTGAAACTAGAACATTTTCCGTTGCAACTTTTCAAGTAAAGATTTTACAGAATTTTTATTTTTAAAAACTTTCATTAAAAAGTCAATCTAAAAAATTACATTTATTCATAGCTACTCAAACAAATGACACAATAGAATCATATATAACACATTTAAGAAAAATTATAACTCTAATATAAGACCAATTATTGTTTATTTTACATTAAGGCGAAATTTTTTTTAAGAACTTGAACATGGTCCGTGGTAAGACCCCTTTTTATCAAATTATTAATATCCGGCTGAAACTTCGTAAATAGCTTCCTCTCATCGTAACCTACAAATATTTTATTTACGAAAATTATCGGAATCGGGGCGTTTTCAATCTGAAGGTCGGCAAACTTTTTCTATTTAATTAGGTGCTATAAAGTCGCAAATACCCATTTGCTTTCCACTTTAATGGTAAGATAACACGAGCACAAAGTCGTGAGAAAGGTGGCCTTTAAAAATATTGAGCCGTTTGGCGTGACCTACACCCCCAAAATTGTAAAAATAATTTAAATTTAAAAAGAATTCCGTAAAAGTTTCAACCTCTGGACAACACATGTTGTTAACAACAGCTGTTGCTAAGGAGGAAAATTTGGTTGGTCTCTTAAGCCCACCTCACGAGGTGAATAATATTGATGCAAGGTTGATCGCTGTAACATATTTCAAATGCCAATAAAATAGTTACAACATAAATCTCAATATATTCGATATATTGTATTGTACGAGTAATGCAGAGTGACGAAAAATTATATATAATAATTTGTGAAAATTAATATTATCTAACGGAAATCACATGTTTTCAAGGAAATCAAATGAAATTTACTAACCAAATGTAAAAGTTTTTTTAAGTTTGAAAAAAAATGATCTATATCCACCTAATCAAGGCAATGACATTGTTTAAAATACTATTTCATAGTACTTATGTGAAAGAAAAAGTGAAATATAAAAATATTTCATGGATGTATGAAGCATATATTTATAACCTTGAATACATTTACTGTAGTTTAGTAATTCTAGATCTGATAATTTATTTAAATAATTAGTTATCAACGTCCGTTTATTCCGAAAAATCGTCATGAAATTAAAAAAAAAAATAAATTAGCGAATAATTTGATGAATTTTCCCTTTGTGAAATCCAAACATTATCCGCTTAAAATTAGTGTAAAATCTTTTTTTCTATCTATAGAAGGCAATGGAAATCTCATAATTTCTTTGTAGTAAACCTAACGATAAAAAGTGACAGTGTAATAACTAATAGGAGTACAATCCATAATCATTTATTACGTTGAATATAGAGATATACTTTCAATTTTCCCTAGACATATATATTGTATATTGCTCAGAGAGTGGAGTGATATGGTATACAAAAATAGATGTACAGAGAGCAATACAGAGTACCGAGGTTTTTATTGACTGCTGTTGATATAATTAATATAATAAATGCTTAGTTATTTTAATGGTCCTAATGATATTTTAGCTGTAAGCTTTAAGCTAAGTGGTCAAAATTGCCAGAAAATAATTTCTATTCATAATAGAGAGGTAAGTGATAGTTATGTGTTGCGCGCACTAGATTTTTTATTATGCTAAATATAGCTTCTTTTCTTCTTTTTATTAATATTGTATATACGTTTATTTTATTTATTTACTTTTGTTTGTTTGATATTAATATATAAAGGTTTTATTTAGCTGTGATGTAACAATTTTGTATGTATATTATTTTAGGAATTATTTTGGAGGAAAAGGAATATTTTGAACACATTTTGTATTTTATTAAAATGACACGGCTTTAGAAAAGTTAATAAATACTTCATGTATGTTAGATTACATTCGAAATCACTATAACACTGTAACATCTTAGAAAAAACTATGCCCGTCCACTAACGGATCCAGTTTTAATTTTGGGTAGTGCGAGTTTTTTTATTAAATCTTTTTATTGAGAAATAATACATTTTGCCACATTTAAGGGCACTGAGTACTAAAGCTGAGTGAGGCCCATTCATACTATATCCCATTCATACTATATATATATATATGGTAGTGGAGTAGAAAAGAAAGATCCTAACTACCAATATGAAATGGTGTTAAAATGATTCGTGAATTTCTATTACACGTAATTACACAAACAATACTACTTTTAGATATAATTTTCTAATATTTTTTTCATAATGAATTATTATATTTAACTCCTAACGAGTTTTATGAAATATAACTGATATGGATTGAGATATTTCAGAAACTAAAAATCGGACCTGCATACTGTAAGCGAGGGAAATTTTCAGCATTTCATCCTGTTTATAATGAGCTATTATTTGTAAATTATATTTAATATTATTAATCTAGCCTTGTTGATGTTTTTACTTCTATCGTGTGGTCTAAAGCTAAACTAAGTTTTTTGTCCATTTTAAAGTACTTTATTTCTTATTTATACTTGATTATATAAAAATATATCATTTTTTGGAACAAGCCTGTTCGTTATATTTTTATAAACCTAAAACTTTATCGTCCTATTTCTCCTTTTTTGTTATTATTTAAAATAATATATTTCTCTCATATTTAAAAGATCTTATCAAATACCTTTTATCGAATGTATTTGTGATACACTACTGAATTATATACATAGCAGATTATGATATAATGATAGGGACAAAGATTGCTCACCTAGAACAGGGAACGTACTTCTCTGCTGGTGGCAACTTCTTACAGCGTTCATTCGCCAACGACCTCACTAAAAGTTGCCTGTCTTTTTGATATGAGTTCAAGTTGTTTCCCGAAGCATCTCTGACGGAAAGGATTGATCTACTGCTACTCATTGAGTGCTAAATTCTTGGTTACTTCTAACAAGTGACCTGAAAGTAAAAGGTTGTATACATTATTATACATTTGTATATATATACATTTGTGGTACATTTAATATATATATACATATATATATTAAATGTATTTATTAATGAAATTTAGAACTGTATTAAAATAAAAAAACATGAATAAGTAGATCACATCTGCTTCTCAGACGCCTTGGAGGATTATTAGGAATCAAAAAGGAAGCAAGGTTTGAAACGAGAGAGTTCGGACTGTTTTGAAGTTTGTATAGAAGGATCTGGATTGGGCTAAATCGGGAACATGTGGTACGTTAAGGCGGTTATGGATGATTTTATTTGTGATAAAGTAAGGAGCATTGAGGATTTTACGAAAAACTTTGGATTATAAGGACTGAGAATATATTAAAATAACGTAAAATCCACAAAAATGAAGAAACTGCAATACATCTTGTAAGCTTTGTAGTAGTAAAAGAGTCATTGAATGTACATAAAATTATTAGAAACCAAAAAAAATCCCTATAAATAAAAGAATCCGTGAAAAAAAATGTATAACCATATTAAACATTCGTGTATAAAAAATGCTTCTGTAAACCCAATTTTTATGCACATGCGTCCTCTACAGGTTTATGGGTTTCGAATGATTACGTAAAAAGAAAAACTTTCTTAATTTCCTTTCAATTACAGGGACATACGAACTATGGTTCTCATATAACGAAATTATGGTTCTCAATACAAAGCAAAACATATTTGAAAACGTTTTGGATTTAACAAAAAAAATATCGCAGTACACATATTCCGTGGTACAGACCCCTTTTTATCGAATTATTAACATCGACTAAAACTTGATAAGTGGCTACATTTTATCGTAATCTAAAACTTTTATATCTACGGAAATTCTTAACTCATAAATACCCATTTACTTTCCACATGAATCGTAGGAAAATTTGGTCATAAGATCGTAAAAAAAGGTGGTCTATAAAAATATTGGGCAGTTTGGACTATATAACCTCGTTATTTTGGCATGTCAGGGTGGATGTCACGCTTAATGGCCTAATATTTTTGTAGACCACTTTATTTTCGAATTGTCTTACGATTCAAGGAGAAAGTAATTAGATGTTAAATAGGCCTTTTAAGAAAGTTTACCGATTTTCAGTTCGAAAACGCCCCATTTTCGAGAATTTGAGTGAATGAAAAAGTTGTAAACGATAAGATAAACTGATTCACGAACTTAAAGACAGATGTTAATAAGATGGGACTCTTATTCGTGGACTAAGAAGAATTATGAAAATAACTGAAAAATAATTTATTAAATGTTGATCACAATAGCCTAATTACCTGAGGATATTGACCTAAATCTGCAACGCAACCTGAGTAACCCAAATAGGTTCGTACTTTGAGTTAGGTTCCAATTAGACAAGCCCTGGTCTAATCAATTATTGACTTTCAGTGATTTTAGTTAATTGCTATCGCCTTTCAGTTTCCAATATCAAGTACAGCTGTATTGACTGGAAAAACTATTTCACTTGGATTTCAGACTCCTATTACCGGGACAAAATTCATCTAGCGACCAATGACGTACGATTTATTTTAATCAGCAAAACACGTAGAATAATGATTTAATGGATTCCATTAGCAACCAATCATCTAAAAGCTAGTTCGGAAAGATTCCAATGACGTCTTTCACTGAAATGAACCAAATAGCAAACTGAAGTAGCTTTTCTTTCCAAACTATAAAATATTTTATAATTTTGAAAACAACGAGGCAAAAGTTACTGGTAAAGAAATAAAAAATTGTTGAAGTAACAATTTGCTACATTGTAAATTTCTTAATCCAGATATGAGCAAATTGAGCATATGGTCTACCAAGTCATAAGTAAAATTAAATGACTCAAATACGTAAACTACACAATCGCTCTAATAACATCTCAATTTCATCAAGCTTTCCACTAGTCCTCTATATCGAGGGAAGTGAAGAAACGGAGAGAAATCTATTGCTATATATTAATGTTTATATACCAAGCACTTGTGATTTCTACACCTACCTATTAGTATTGTTGTCCAAAATCGGTCTTGGTCTTGCACTTTGCCGACCGATACCAAAGCCGCCTAACTGTCTAATACCAAGACCAGGACTGGTAAAAAAATGGATTTTTAAATAACAATTAAGGCAATATAGTTACTTATACTTGACAATCTTAGTTGCTAATATGTAATATGTAATAAATGGTGTAAACAATATACTTTTGCATTTAACTCCTCTAATTTTTAATTCAGGCTTACTTAGGTTTCTCCTATCTAAAATATCACAGTAATATCTCTATAGTAACAAGCTAATAAGTAACTGCAAGACTGTTGCGAGACTTTTGAGAAAGACTAAGACCATGACCAAGACTGAGTTTGCAAGACACAGACTCGTCTCGGTCTCGCCTTTGGGCAACACTACCTATTAGATAGAGTAGGATAACTTTCGATAGAATGAGCCAAGATTAAATACCTGGAAATCATTACCTCAAAAACTATAAAAGAAGAAGAGGAGATTAGAATGAGAATTGAGCCTCTTAACGAATGTTGTAGGTCATAAATAGGTATCCTATAAAATGAGAATCTGAGTATTGTATGAAAAGGAAACCTACAAGTTAGAAATTAAAGAAAATATTAGGGGAAAGTGATATTAAAGCTTTTCTAAGGAAATAAAACGAAATCATGAAGCTGCAGGATGTGAATATCAACTACAACTGCAACTTAGATACAAACATAGATTGCTGTGCCGCAAGGCTGTACAATTCTCAGTGTTAATCTCAATATGTCCACCTGTTTTTTTTGTTCTCTCCTTCCTCGCCATTTAAGAGAGAGGTACTCTGGGGTGAGGGCGAGGGATTAATGCCAGGATTAAAAGTCACCCTTGACACTTCGGTATTATTTGATCACCTTATCTTCTATCCGGAGTGCCAGGCAACGCGGGGCGCTTTGCACACCCGTTAGCTCGTTCGGCCACAACGCCCCATCTAAATACGTACTTCTGAAGTACTTACAAAAAACGCTAAAGAGCAAGAATAGCTGCTATTTAGATCAAATTTCTGTATACAGCAGAAGTTTGAGCCCCCAAATCATCATCAAACTGCTGCGACCACCCATCACCGGATCTGGGTCGCTTTTAAAAGTCTCCGCCAGTTTGCACAGTCCTGGAATACAGCTTTAGTAGACCAAGTAGTTTCGGATTTGAAGGAGGTCTCTTGATACTCCTTCTAGCTACCTTGCCCTAGGTAAATCTAATTTTCTTGTCCTGTGCAGTTTTTAAAACATTAGTAGTTTGGGAATCCCAGAATCCCATCTTTCCACTAACTTCGTATTGCCATGTCCATAGAATGCCTGGAGTTTATCGTTAAAAAGCTGATCCACGCGGTTTTAGATGTCCTCTTCCATTTGGAATTTCTTTCCATTCATAGAGTTCTGCAGAAACCGGAATAAGTGGTAGTCACATGGAGCTAAGTATGGTGAATAGTGAGGGTGGGAAAAAAGGCTCATACAAGACTCAATAATTTATTGCGAGTGACCAAAGAAATGTGGGGCTTAGCGTTATCTTTGCGAAACGCAACACCCTTCCGATCATTCATATCTCTTCAGGATGTTCTCCAAATTCGATGTTACTATATCCGTTGGGAAGCTGGATTATTGCCCTAGGAATGTTTTTTTGATGTAACGCCTACATAAGAAATAAATAAACAAAACTCCTTATAAGTATTTATTTTTTATCTCTATTTTTAGTTTGCTTACGAAGGTCCTGTTGATATCATTTTTTGTAGTTTATGTGGCCCTAAATTCCTGTTAAAATTCTTGTAGATAGCTAAAGTAGTATTGAAGTTAAAACATTGTGATTGTGACAGGTGCGTTCGGTTAAGGCCTCATCCTCACTGCCTCACCCTCATCAGCCTTCATCATCATAAACACTGCAAATTTTTCTATGAGCCCCTGCACCACGCTTACCTTTTTTAAAAAACATACAACAAAATTTGGCGATAATGGATGTCTTCCATATTCACAGTGCAATAGCAAACACAACACTAAGCTAGTTTCAACAAGAGTTAACAGATATAGTTGTTGACATATTACAAAAAGGATAAACAATCCAACTTAGGGATTAATTCATCAGATAATAAGTGTAACATAGTGACATAAAAATATACAGAAAAACCGAAAGGACATATTCGCCAACCCAATAGAATCCTATTTCTAGGAATGGTCCCTAGATCCCTCCATCACCAGCATTTATTTTGTTTTCTATTCACTGGTTGTAGACACCTTTGCAGCGTTCTCCAACGCCAAAAAAGACACTTTTAGGGTACACAGTGATTAATTATTCTTTCTTTAAGAACAGGAGAGTAATACAATTTCGTTTAAAGGTGAGAAAGGAGAGGACCTTGGAGAAGAGGGAGAAGGATGGGCACCGCTGTACGGAGGAAACATTAAAATTCACTCCTCGCTTTCCAAACTACAATTAATTCATACAAAGCCAGAGTTCATTAAAACTGGATCATCATCACAGGTTATCTAACGAATTATCTCAAAAACTTAAACGATTAAAAGAAAGTCATCAGAGAGCCTCACTAGCTCAAACTACCAGAAAGCAGTGTAGACAGTATGTTACTTTTTCTTTTAAATACAAATGTTCATTACTAAAAGCCCCGAATACGGTTTATTATTTTGTTAAATAACTAAAAAGAGGGCACTATTTTGCAACTGTTGCATCACACTCTAAATTGGATGCCGAGAATAGCGGATTATTGACAATATCTTCACAGTACTACCTTTCTTTATTTTAATCGCGATTTACGAAGTTCGAAAACTTCCATCTGGTCTTTAATTACATTGCTGTATTTGGCTTCCGCTAGCTACACTCGTGCAAAATGCATATGCAAACCACTAAGGAGCCTTTTTCGGTTGAAGCCTGGGCCTTACAAGAGAGTTCGGTCGCCTCCATCTACTTCACGAAATACTTGACCGCCATTCTCGGAATTCCATTAACAGTACGATCTTGAGATCTTGTGCCAGCCATCAAAATGGAGTAGTGGAGTTATTCGATCGTATGCTTTGTGTATGGTTTCATGTAATTCTTATTTTTTTTTTTTTAGATAAAAACAAGCAAGTATCTTAGAATAAATCAGCAATTGACATTTGATAAGAATTCAATCAACGGACAGTTTACTGAAAATTGCAAGAGAAAGAGAGCTTAACAACAATAAACTGTTCAGAAATATTATAAATAGCAAAATTTTCATCAAAACAGTAGAAAATAGAAGAGCTACAATAACCAGACATGAAACAATATTGAATAGATTTTTCCTACTTAGAAAATCTATTTAGTGATGAGATTATCTGACCACTAATTCAGAAAATAGTGGTAGTGGTAGATGCATGTAAAATGTGGGGACCAAATATACTTTTGATTGTGAATACCAATGTTTAATGGAATTTCAAAGCAAGTTATTGGCATGTAATCAAAATATAAATTGTAATGACTGACACTTTGTATAATCCATCAAAAATTATTGATTAAGATGGTGAATATTTTTATTTAAACTTAACTATAATTAATTAATAATTAAATCTTGTTACTAACCTACAAACCTACATAAAATCTGCTTACCCTAACTATCCATATGGTGATACTATGAAATTTAGTAAATTATTTCTCCGAAACTAATTGTAATCAAACATATGTTTTTAAAATATTATCAACATAAACTTATACTTTACCTAAAATCTACACAATATATATACGTTGGTACATCTTTTTTCGGATCTCAGAAGGATTTGATGAATCATATATCAAACCAAAGGCAAATTCTTGGAGAAGAGACGAATTCGATTATAATATATTTCTAAAAAAAATTTAATAAAATTCATTGAAAATAGGAGGTTTCAAAAAAATGACATTGGTAAGTCTATAGATTGAGAAAGGATAAATAGCGTTTTAAAGATTTTGACGCGGGCACCAAGACCATCAATCATCAATCATCAATCGTCAAAACCCGATTAGGTTCTGCAGTATGTACGGTTTTATTTAACCCTACTTCATTCGGATAGATTTCAAGGTGCCTCGGTTGCCATAGGTTACTTAATTATATTATATATAATAGGTTGTTCAAAATTCTTCCTCAAATCCAATGAGCTCTCATTATGTGGTTTATCTTTTCTTTCACGTGAGTAAAATAAGCAAATCCCTCAGAAAGGTTAAGGAAGACAACAAATTTTTATATGCGCATAACTAATTAGAAATGTTTCAAATTCTCTACAAACGTAAAAAAGATATCCTACAAAGCAATCCTGAGGCCAGTGGTGTTGTATACAACATCAACAAACCAAGATTAATAATATGAAATATAAATTTGTTTTTCTTCTATATTCACAATGTAATAGCATTTACAATTTATATAATTAAAATGTAGAGAACGGGGTAGCTCTTTGGGCGACTAATGACGTCCAGAGCTGAAGATCCCTGGTTCGAATCCGGCTGATGAACAGTAATTTTTCATCAGCTATATATCGTTCCAGGGGTTAGGAGACCATTCTGGGGCACACTCAGTCTCTTTGAAGTAGGTATTCTTAATTTAAAAAATAATTAAGGGGGGGGGGAACCTGGCAGTTGAGCGCGTTTGGAGTTGTGAAACATAGTCCCTAACATAGTATAGAACTCAAGCCTCTTCATGGGTTATACTGGTACAGGTTTATAATTATGATATGTACTATATTTACTTCCGCAAATCCGTTTCTAAATTATCCATAGTATTAAAATTTTGAGTTATTTTAGTCCAATTTTTAAAATAGTCGTTATTATTTGATTTTTCCATATCAGCTTTCTGACTCGATGTCTCGTCAAAATACAATTTTCATTTATAGCTCATTATAAAAAGAATGAAATGCTGAACATTTCTCTCGCTTTCGATATGCAGGTCCGTATCTTCAATAAAGCTCTAACTGATATCTTATATTAAACTCGTTATCAGTATATTTTCGACCCTATTTTTCTTTTTCGTCACTCTCGTTGAGTTAAGATACAATTTCGAAACATGGCTCATTACAAAGAGGACGAAATGCTGAACATTTCCCTTGCTTACAGTATGGATGTCCGATTTTTAGTATCAGAGATATTTTAGTCGATCTGTAAAATAACTTCAATTATCGACTCGAGCCAACATTAAACGAATAAGCGTTTCACATCCGAGCCTGAGAGCTTAGTTAAACCTTAGTTTAATTCACTTCCCTCAAAAGAGCAAAACGCAATTCAAAAGAAGTTTTCACTTCAAAAAGAAAACCTGGTTTAAGCTTAAAATTATTATTATTATTGTCTTGTCCCATTTAAAAGAAAAAACAAATTAATGCATATTCCTTCCTCAAAAAGCCATCGCTACCATAACAGATTTTTTTATTCAAACACGTGACCATCTGTCATCTGCTGTTGTTATTATGTTGGGGGGTAGCGGATTCATTAGGCCGACGCTGGTGTATAAAACAGTTCTTCTACCTGTAATTAATTAGGTTTTAAGGTAAGAGGGCCCTACCTGTAAAGGTGATCAATGGCTCTAGTGCTGCTATGGACAGAGGAGACAATGTCCTCGCCCCGCAAAAAGGGTACCCACTTTACATATAGATAGATCTGTATTCAGTTGAATTACCATTCTCCACCAAGGAGTTGTTAACTTGGATTTTAAACTTTTAAAACTTTTTCGCTCTTTTAAAACACCTTCTATCGTTGAGGATCATTCAAGCTCAAAAGTGCCAAAAAAAAAAAAAATAAAAAAAAATAAAGACCAATAAAGAACTGCTTAAAGAAACTGGTTAATAAATATCCCATGATATGAAGGCACAGAGGTTAAGATTGACGGTGCGTGGAGGTCATAGCAATCCATCTGGAAGCTTCTACATAACAATGAATGCCTCAATAGAATGCAGAACACCACGTGGAAGGCCAAAAAGCAGATGGATAGATATAATCAACAAAGATGCAATAAAGATGAGTGCAGAAAAATGAAAGGAAATATCTTATGACAGGCAGAGAGGGAGCAGGCTTATTAATGCGCCAAAAGATCTACATGATCTGTACTTCTAAAAGAAAAAAATATATATATTATTAAAACTATTTGTGGCAAGTTCATTTCAATCTGCTATTTGCCAACATATAGTCAAATCAGTTAAAAGATTCGAAAATTGTCACGATCGCTTATTTATTATTTCATATATGGGTAAGTGAAAGTAAAAAATATTATGTGGCAATATTCTCAAATCATTCCAGCTGAACTAAAAATTTATGTAGCATTTTTATTGAACCATACTTTTATTTAGAGTTCTGTAAATATAAAAACTTGTACCAATTCATAAAGGCTTTTGGTTTCAGTACTTCATGAGAAAGCCGAAAATTCCACACCAATAACAGAAGGAAAATCATTTCCAAGATCAGAAAAATTCAAATACCTCGGCTCCACAATAACCTTAATGAATGGGCAACGGGCAGGAATAGGAATTTCTTCTCTGTTTCAAACTGTATTGAAATCCCCAAAAATCTCAAATTAAGGATGTACAATTCTATGATAAAGTAAGTTCTAATATACGGTTATGAGACCTGGGAACTAACCAGAATCCTAGAAAAAAGTGTTTAAAGATTTGCGAGAAAAATCCTTTCCACGATATCCGGAGCGATCTGGGATACAAAGGACGAGCACATGGAGATGAAAGACCAATATACCATAATATAAAAAATATTATGTGGTAATATTCTCAAATCTTTTCAGCTCCACCAAAAATTTATTTAGAATTTTATTGAATTTATTGAATCATAATTTTATTTAGATTTTCATAAATATAAAAATCAATAACAATACGATCCATAAAGGCTTAGGGGTTCAGTACTTTGTAAGGAAGAACTATTTCATGCATGAATGAATGCAGGGCGGTAATCCGACCGAGACTAGACTTAACCGCCGGATTTTCTTCCTTAATTAATCAATTATTTAAGGTAAGATACATTATACACGCTGGGTGTGTCCCTGGAGGGTCTTTCGACTCTAGGGTCGATCCTCAGCCGATCCATTTACCATCAGCCGGATTCGAACCTGGGACTTTGAGCTAAGTAGCCCAGTGGGCTATAAATATAATTCGTATAGCCGTATTCGTTACCTTATCGAGTTTATTTTAAATGAATGACTTAGAGTAGAAACTTTTTATAGTAAAGGTTTTGTTTGAAATTTGAGATGGATTGCCGGATTTATTCATGGATTTTCTATATTCATATAACAAAAGACCACTAAGTTCAATCAGACCTAATGGAGTAAATGAATAAAACAAAAAGACGAATGAAGTTTTGAAAGTATTTAAAAAAAAATTAAAACTCATTTCACAATTTGTATTTGTTTTCACTGACAACAATTAATTGAATAAAATTATTTTCACAGGTACTTGGTTTTTATTAACTGATCAATCAATTAAAAAACAAAATAAAATATTTGGGATAAATTAAGAAAGTATTGTGATTTTTCTAAAGATAGTAAATATCTTCTGGAGCATATTAATATTGTTTTACTACACGGCTATGATTATATTTCATCCAAAACTTGTATTCCAAAAATACACTTTGGAAAAAGAAATGGGCATTTAAGGCATGAGGAAGATTAGTACCCAGCAGTACCTCTTTCTTACTGTTCACTAATTACTTCATAATTTAGGAAAGGAGTTCTCTCATCCAGCTTAATAAATTAGTATTGAAATAACAAACAAATGTTTACTAGATTTTGTATAAATTACAGAAGCATCGATGTACCGATCTGAAGTAATGGAATATATTCGAAGGACCATTGTTCCAGGGAGTGTGGATGGGGCAGCTGATGATAAATCGTAACGGGTTGGAAGAGAGGAGGTATTTAAAAGTAGTTTGTGTGTTCTATGTCACGTTTTTATTTCGAACTATTCCGAATATCGGAAAAAAAAAATGTCAGTACATACATTGAAAAATCAATTTTTATTAGCTTCCTGGGAATTCTACATTTCCATGTTTATAGTATCCATATCATGTTTTTGTGACCACGAATATGATGAATAGGAAAAAAAACAGAACAGATTTGTTTCAGTAAAATTTTCACTGTACCGTAAAACTTGTCAATAGTCTTTGTTGTAAAGAAATATTTGAAAAACAGTAATAATTAATTAACATGTTTAAATGTTAATATATTTGACAAGAAATTAACTAATAATTTCAAAGATCATTTCGTTGATAAAATATAGAATTAATAAAAGCTATAAATACATTTAAAACTTCCACCTATAGTATGTTTATCATACGATGTTAAAGAATAAAACTGATATTTAAATTATTTTAAAATAAATGATTTTTTAATGAATTGAATTTATTATAATTTTTCGAAAATGTAAATGTTGACTAAAAAACAAAGAACTATATATTTTTTTCAAACAAGACACATTCTATAACATACAGGCATAAGTTAAATATGTTGAACTTTAGTACAAATTAAAAATTTACCTAAGTAAATAATAGTCCAAGTTCCGAGTCAATTTTTATGACTTATTTGAAGAAAGAATTAATCATATAATGTTCTAATGTTCAACTTATATTACCCTGCCATCAAACGGACGTATTTCATAATGGCGTTTGATAACGCCGCATACACTTATATCTTTATTTTTTATTATTATTTTTTCTCACTA